GTGAGCAGGGGCTGCGCTTTGTTGTGGTGCATGGGCTCAGTGCCGTGGTTTCTGTTGTGGAGCACGGGCTCTAGGTGCACAGGCTTCAGTAATTTTGGCACGCGGGCTCAGTAGTTGTGGCTCACGGGCTCTAGAGCACAGGCTCAGTAGCTGTGGCCCACGGGCTTAGGTGCTCCGTGGCATGTGGGATCTTCCCAGACCAGGGCTCGAACTGTGTTCCCTGCATTGGCAGGCAGATTCTTAACCACTGCGCCACCAGGGAAATCCCTAAGTCTGTTTTTAAGATTTCAGTTTCACATTGTTTATTGCTGGTATGTAGAAATACAATTGATTATTATATCTTGAGCTTATATCCTGCTACTCTCTTCACTCGTTAGTTTTAGTAGCTTTTTTGCAGCTTCCTTAAGCTTTTTCATGTAGACAATCAGGTTGTCTATGAATAGAGGTATGTTACTGAGTGCAAGTTCATGTCCCCGACACACAGTGAGGCCAGTCAAGCAGAAACGTCGAGTTTGAGAAACCTTTCAAGTAGAGAAAGGTTTATTGCAGGGCTGAGCAAGGAGAACGGGTGGCTCAAGCTCAAAAAACCCCCAAACTCCCTGAGAAATTTCAGCAATGCATTTTTTTAAGGAAAGGTAAGGAAGGGGCATCCCAGGGTATGTGATCAGCTCATGCACAGTTCTCTGATGGGTTGATGATGATCACTCCTTAGGCGGCAGAAAGTCTGGAGGCTACCTGCTCATGATCATCAGGTGGTTAATTTCTAACGTTTGTTGGTGGTTTTAGCATCTGAAAAACTCAGGAAGTATGCATGAGATACTATTATCTGGTACTTCAGAGAGGAGCTGCTGCAGAGGATGTGGGGGAGGGGTCTGTCTTGGGACGGCCCCATAGGCTCCTGCTCGGCTGTGGATAGTTCTTACTTTCCAGTCTGGGTACCTTTTTATTTATTTATTTTGTCTGATTGTGCTGACTAGAGCTTCCAGGCCAGTGTTGAACAGAAGTAGGGAGAGCAGGCATACTTACCTTGTTCCTGATCTTAGGTGGGGGAAGCATTCAGTCTTTCACCATTAGGACTGATGTTACCTGTAGATTTTTCATAGGTGTTCTTCTAGTCCTGCTTTGTTGAGAATTTTCATTGGGAATGCATGTTGGATATCGTGAAATGTTTTCTGTATGTTTGTTGATCTGCTATATAGTTTTTCTTTTTTTTAGTGTTAATTATGGTGAATTACATCTGTTGATTTTTTAATGTTAAACAAGTTTTCATTCTTGGAATAGACCCCACTTGGTCATGATGTATTATCGTTTTTATATGTTGTTTAATTTGAAACATCACCATCAGAGGGCTAAGAAACTAGGGTCAGTGAAAGAAAATGTTACCTAATATTTTTTGCTAGAAAATAGAGACTTTGCTGAAAATTCTTCCAGACTGTTGTCTGTGAGAGAGTTCTGAACTTTCAATTTACTGTTCAAATTGAACCTGTTTTTTGCTCAGCAAGGAAAAGGGAGTCATCTTTATCTTGGCCAACAATTCCCCCAAAACAGCTAAGAAGGATAGTTTCAGAATTGTCTTCTTTGAAGCCTTATAAACGGTATAGGTAGAGCTTTAGTTTTAGTTTTTTTGGGTGTGCTTGGGAGATAGGAGTCAGAGTGAACTTAAAAACTGCTTAACAATCCATTCTTGCTCTCATGTGTTTGTAATCCAATCTAACATTTACTTTTTAAGAATAAAAGGAAAACTTTGGGGACTTCCCTAGCAGTACAGTGGTTGGGATTCTGCACTTTCACTGCCGAGGGCGTGGGTTCAATCCCTAGTCGGGGAGCTAAGATCTTGTAAGAGTTGTGACACAGCCAAATTAAAAAAAGAAAAAGAAGAAAACTTTTAAGTGATAAATGCATGATTTTTATATTAAATAGTATAAGTAGTGACGTACAATTGTATCAACCAAAGCCCTAAGTCAAGGTAGTCCTCAACTGCTGGACCCTAACTGGTTCTCTGCTTGATGCCATCAGCAGGGTCCTTCTGTGGCACTGCTGTTGTCCTGTGCTTCTGTACTGACTGATGGTGAAGAAGCGGAAGGAGGGGGCCTTGTCTAGTCTTTGGCTGGTCTTAGGATTCCTTTTGTGTGGACAGTGTTGAGGGCCACAGGGTATCCTCTGCTAATAGCCATCATGGCATGTGTTGTTTGCTAAGTTGAGGGAATTGGAGAAGAGTATCCGTTTTCTCTTAATTCCCTGGATGTTGAAGCGGTTGGTGTGGTCTGCCTTGGGGAGATGTGCTCCGCCCTCTGGTAGCCTGAGTGTTAGTTACTGTTCTTTGAGAAGAGATTGAAAAATGTTCGGAAAGACTGTCATTTCCTGTAGAAATCTGGGGGTTAGGATGTGACAATATGTGGACTGCAGATTTGAAATTGTGTACGTCAGATTTTCAAAATAAAAATTAGGATGTGTTTGGGACTTCCCTGGCAGTCCAGTGGTTAAGACTCCACACGTCCAATGCAGGGGGCGTGGGTTCAATCCCTGGTCTGGGAAATAAGATCCTGTATGCTGCGCGGCAAGGCCAAAAAAAAAAAAAAAAAACTTAGGATATGTTTAGTGCTTTCAGTTGTTTTTATATTTGTGTTTAAGTTTTACTTTTATGCACCTCTTGTTAGTTGGCCTATTTTCTGGCACAGTATTCTCAGTGTGAGGGCTCTTGAAATAACTGGACTAAGTAATTTCTTTTGTTCAACTTCAGTCCCGTTGAGAAAAGGAAGGGCTGTTCTTATGCTGTGATTACACTGGAAATAGTGCTTGTCTATCTTAGGTCACATGTACACACTCTGGCTGTTCAAGAATTCAAATCTGAAACATAAAATAGCGGTGGTAGAGGTTTCTTCTCTTTATGCATAATTAAATTAGTTTTAAATTTAGAAACCTTCATGTTAGCAATAATATGCAATTAAGAGGTAAGTAGCTTTCAATTAAACTATCAAGTGTTCCTGTTTAGTAAGACCAGGAAATGGTCTTCTGGGTATTAAAAATGGAGTGCATTTCTTACTGGTGCACAGAGTGTGGTGGTCTTTGGAGTCAGACCCAGTTTGCAGCCCTGAACTGACTACTTACTATCTCTGAGACTTTTGCCCACTTCAGCAGTGTAGAAATAATAACACATGTTGTAAGAAACAGTAGACCTGAGTGTTTCCTAAATACTTTGTGCTGTGAAATGTGGCTAATTCCTTGAAGAAATGGTTTTGTGAGCAGACCTGTCTGGAATTTGTAGCATCCTGTTTTCTTGGAGGTTCCCACTGTGTGTTAAGACACTGGGCTCTGAGAACCACTTTGGTCAAGAAATCTGCTTGCTTTGTTCAGCTAAGCATTTCCCAGGCAGAACTTCTCCCTTCTTCCTTCCCCGCCCCTGCTCCCTCCCCGTGTGGGAAGTCTGCAGCATGTTTCAGTTTACTTTTGTTTCATGGATCCTGGTTTTGAAAAGAAAGTGCTTAGCACAGTATCCCGAATTTTACTTGAATAATGGTAGATTTCTTTTTGTCCTTTTCATTGTTAATTTGAATGATTTAAACACTGTTGTGAACTCAGAGCCCACTTTATTTTTGGTTTAGCCTTGTATGTAAGTAATAAGCCATTTTCTCTTCCAGTTTTATTGAGATGGAATTGACTTAAGCACTGTGTGAGTTTAAGCAGTACAGCCTAACGACTTGACATCTATATATTGAGAAATGATTACCACAATAAGTTTAGTTAACACCCATTCATTCATTTAATAATTTGCTATATTTTATTCCTAATTTACTATTTCAGTTATGTCTTTTGCCCAAATTGTTGTTATAGACCTTGATATTAAAATCCAGGAAAAGCAAGTGTGGTATGAGAGTAAGAATCATAGAAAGTTAGTATCTGGTCAAATTCCTGCTTTACTAATTCAACACAGTTTAAATATTCATCAGCATTCATAATACTTCTTGAACTGCTACTCCTGGCCCTCTGTTAGATATAGTGGAGGATGTGATTTAGATGCTTCCTGCTTTGAGCCTCTCAACACTAGGCACGAAACATCCATGTCTTTCTTGAGTGATTTGTAAGAATTCTGCAGATGTAAAAAGTGAGAACATTTTTGCAATAAATAGAGCAGTAGATGTTAAAGAATGAAATGTAGAAAAGTATTTTTTTAAGGAAATAATTGGAAGAGATATAGAACAAATAAAGTAAAATAGAAATAAAAAGAATAAAAGAGTAATTTTATATCCAGAGATGTTTGCTGCTAACATCTTATCTTCCCAGACTTTTTCTTGTGTGTTTCACAAAAAATGGTATCATATTACGCATGCTACTTTGTACCCTGCTTATTTTGTTGATGATGTCAAGTGAAGGTCTTTTAGATGCCTGTGAAGCGTCCTTACCTCCCCAAAAGTCAACCTTAACACTGGGTGCTCTCTCTTGCTCTCCAGCCTGTTTCCTGGCAGGAGCTTTAGGCTGAGGAAGAGTGGTGAGAGCAGTAAGTTCTTTTGGTGGGTAAAGTGTCATATATTATATAATTCCTTGTTGGCTATGCATAAACTCTTGGTGTATGCGCAACCCTGCAGAGTCCACATCCTTTGTTTCGGTGAGTTGTGTTATACTGACCCCGAAAGATTTGCATTTAACTTGTTGCTTAGAAGAAAAAAGATTGTTTAGAAATGTCAAGAGCTAGAATATACATATTATGTACAGCTAGACTTACAGATAAAACCTCCAGTTATTGTTACAGCGTGCTGGGTGGTTCATTGCTTTTCTAAGTTAAATTAAAAAAAAAAAAGCCTAAAAGAAAGACATAGGGGGCATTTTTCTCTTGATGAAAGGTAGTCTTGAAAAAATGTTGTATTATTAAACATGTTTTTAAATCTGATTTTATTATTTAGAGTTTTATTTAATGGTATCAGGAACTGACAAGGAAGAACGAGTTTCCATTGCTAGTTTTCTGAAATTTAATTTTTTTCTTTCTTTCTTTTAAATAATAAAAGGTGGCTATCATCCAGTGAAAATTGGAGACCTCTTCAATGGCCGGTATCATGTTATTAGGAAGCTAGGATGGGGACACTTCTCTACTGTCTGGCTGTGCTGGGATATGCAGTAAGTGTTCCTTGTCATTCGTGCTTTTGATTCCTGGTCTGGTTCAAAACATCTTTATTTTACAACAAGCTAAGGCTGAGGAGCACACCTGCTTCTGTTGTGGCATGTAAAGCGCACAGCACAGGCCTGCCCCACCCCAGACTTGCCCCTCTCACTTTGAAGTTCATTTGCCTGTCATCTTTAAATATTAATTTTCTTCTGCCTTTATATCTGAGGCTTATTCATTGTAATTGCGCTACACTCGGGTCATATTGTTTTTCTAGTAATTCATCCATACCAGAAAAACATTCAAATATAAAATAATAATGTTTAGGCCTTTCCAGTCAGTGGGTTTCAACTCTTTTTGAAAGCCATGACCCATAATATGAAACTGCATCCTTAGAGTACACGTACACATGTGTAGTGTGTGTGTGAATTGAAACAAAAGTGTTATAATACTTGATCTTAACCATATGTGATGAACTCTGACATCTATCTAGTCGACTTGATTTTTATGAGGACAAAACAAAAACACAAAGCAAAGAAGAGATTGATACATGAACCCACTGCTTTACTGTAACCCCACAATTTGAAAAGTACTATTTTAAAGGAAAGCTTATTGAAAGTCGCTATTTATTGGAGTTTATTAGAGTTCATTATGATGTCTAGTTTATTAGTCTAGTTTATTAGAGTTATTATAAATGATCACTTCTGTTAAAATTTTTTTTAATGCATTTTTTTTTTAAGGGGAAAAAGATTTGTTGCCATGAAAGTTGTAAAAAGTGCCCAGCATTATACAGAGACAGCCTTGGATGAAATAAAATTGCTCAAATGTGTAAGTACTACAAAAATGTGAATGATATCAGAAAGGTTAATGATGAAATTTCACGGAGGGATTTTTCTGGGTTTTACTAAATTAATTGAATTTATTATTTGTAAGTTCAAATACTGAATCTTTTATTTTTTACAACATTTATTAAACAGTTTTGGTTGGTACAATGGAAATGACTTTCAGTCTTAAACACTTCTGTTCTTGAATTCATTTTTCTCTCCATAGGTTCGAGAAAGTGATCCCACTGACCCAAATAAAGACATGGTGGTACAGCTAATCGATGACTTCAAAATTTCAGGCATGAATGGAATACGTATCCTTTTTGATGGTTCTGTTGCTTCCTAATGGCTGAATTATACTCTAGTTTTTCTTTTTACTTTTAAAAAGTGGAAATATTTTAAGCCCTATACACTTGTGTTTGCTGATTCACTCTCCACATGCAGGCTCTAGCGTCTTCGTGTTATATGATTCTTGAAAGATGAAAGTTTCTTAGTTATAAGGTGAATTGTTCCTTTTGCTTTTTGAATAGGGAGGCCTTAGTTCTGATTCTGGAAAAGAAGTGTGTCCTACAAGTGGAGCAAGGGCATCTCACGACCTCCCTTTCTCTTTTGAGGATGTCAGTTTTAATTGGGCTGCTGTTATATTGTTTGCATGCTTAGTAGTTTTGGGGGAGGGAGGGCTCAGGAGGAAGTGAATGGGGGTAGTGTGGAAGGAGCTCTTATCTTTACCCTCCTCCTGCCCAGGGCATTGGTAAAGGACAGCTCCAGGGGTCGCAGTGACAGCAGAATAACGTGTAGCTCAGAGCTTTTGGCAGAAGCGGAGAGAAGAGATAATGCCTTTAGTTTCCAGAATGCTGTTTCCATATTTTAGTATTGGATCCTCTGAGATAGCCCTGTATGGGCCTGATCTAAGCAATACCTTCATTCCCCAAGGTTCAGGAATACCGAACTGTGTATTCATTATCTTGTGACTGGTGAGTGCCGGGTGTGCGTCAAGAGCCAGGCTCTTCTCCTCCTTCCTGATCTTTTATTCTTTCCTTTATCATGTTTGGAACAGATCCAACATTTTGATATTTGACCTGTTCAAGCTCCAGAACCTGAGGACAAAGCCTTCTCCCAGCTTACACCCCAGAATGACAGCCTGTTTCTGCATCTACTAAGACTTAATCCCGTAGGGAAGCACTTTCTTCACACCCTATGTATTTGTGGAGGTTTTTATATTTCTTCTAGAGATCAGATTTGAGGATACTAGCAAGTTCTGGTGACTGCTGATGTTACCTCACCCTTTGCCTCAAGATCCTTTCTGCTAGCTGCAAAGTACATTTTCCCCTCTTGATCGATAGAAAGATAGAGCTGGTCCTTCTCTGCGCCTGGTCTCCAAGTGAGCCTGTTTGTTTATGTGCAGGCAGGGTAGCCCTTCCTCTTGCATCAGATCTGGGAGGCAGTTCTTAAGACAGCTGATAGAGGGCTTCTTTGGAGAAAACACCTGATTTGTAGGTAAATGGAGGGATTTTTTTTGATATATATTGAATACGTTCCAGTGGCTATTTCTACTGTTAAGTAGTCCAGATTTGTGAATGCTTTGAGAACACTCAGGTCATAATTTAGAAGCCATGGGCTTTGGCTCTATGCCTGCTACTAACTTTAGACCTTAGTTGCCATTTTTTTAATGAGCTTGGGAAATAGTAAGGAACTTCTAGCTTTAGATCATCTATGCCTAAGTCTGTAGCGCATACGCTGTCCAGTGTCATAGAAATATTTTTCTTATTTTTATTAAAGATATTTAAAGCAATAGTTATTATGATGATGTGGTAGATCCAGATATTGTAAAAAATATTAACTCATCTGACCTTCTTATAGGCCTGTATGTAGGTCTCCAGGGCTGAACAAAATATTCTCAGAGGGTTTCAGAGCCATTTAAAATCTTTCTGTATGAATGACATGAATATATTTATATGAGGGGATTTGGTGGCTCACAGTTCTGGAGGGTCAGTGGTTGACTAGAATTTCTATTAAAAAACAAAACAAAACAAAACCCAGATTCCTGAGATTTCATTATTATAGGTTGGTCTTAATGGCCATGCCATGTCTTGTGATCATACATCCTTAAAAACTTAAAAATTGATCTAGTGACCCAGTGAAAGATACTGTTGAAGGAAAAGATTAAATGTCTTCACTGTGTTTGGTAAATTTCTGTTTTATAAAGTGTTTTATGTGATGTATAGGATAGAAATTTAGGTAGGCAGGCAGGACACTTAAGGCGGGAGAGTTCTCTATTCTTTTCCTCATCAGTTTCTGTGAGGTTTCAGTCCTGCTCATTTTCGTTAAGGCTGATTGTCAGAAGAAGTGTGCTTGAGAGCGTGGGTAAGTGTGGGGTTGAGTCATGACTCTGCCACCTTTGGGTGGTGTCAGGCAGGAGGGTTCTTTAAACTCCCCGAGGTTTACTCTCCTCATTCCTTATGTTGTTATGAGTACACATTAAATCATGTATGGCACATGGTAGGTACTTAGTATATGTTAGATCTTTCTATTTAGGTGAGGAACAGCAAATGACCACTTCTGGTATTATTGATAGTATTGAAGTTGTATTTTATAAAGAAGTAATTGTTTTGCCAAGGGCCACAATGATGCTGCTTTTAGTAATTCCGTCACTGCAGGAAATGTATCCAGAAATGATCCTTAACCCTGTCCCAGATGTCTGCATGGTCTTTGAAGTGCTTGGCCACCATCTCCTCAAGTGGATCATAAAATCCAACTACCAAGGCCTCCCAGTACGTTGTGTGAAGAGCATTATTCGACAGGTGAGGCTTATGACGGCAGCCCCCAGCTCCCAATACCTAACTGGCTAGCCTTTCAACACGAATTCCTGTCTTAAAAAAAGACAAACAAAAAAAAGCATGCACGGGCTTCCCTGGTGGCGCAGTGGTTGAGAGTCCGCCTGCCGATGCAGGGGACACGGGTTCGTGCCCCGGTCCGGGAAGATCCCACATGCCGCGGAGCGGCTGGGCCCGTGAGCCATGGCCACTGAGCCTGCGCGTCTGGAGCCTGTGCTCCGCAACGAGAGAGGCCACAACAGTGAGAGGCCCGCGTACCGCAAAAAAAACAAAAACAAAACAAAACAAAAGAAGCATGCGCACATATATATCTCTCTCTCCAGTTTTAGAAATAAATACATATATTACAGTGCATAACATTTTGAACTTATTAAATCAATTTTGTATTTAGTTAATGATAAGCCATTCTGTCTTGTAAAGGGAGTAATATGTAAATGTCAAGCATATATTTCTTTTGGCATATGGATCTTTTTTCAGGTAAGTGATACAGTAAAATGAGAAATTGTTTTATCCAGTATCATTACTACGAAATGTCCCACTTAGTTCCTTAGAAAATAATACAGAAAAAAACATATAATGTATTGTTGTGTTTATTTGCTATTTCTAAGTATTTGGATGAAGGATAAATGGAAGGTAATTTAAGGAATGTTTAAGTTATATATGGAGTATTGTATTTGTACTTCGTTCAATTGCCTTGACAATAGAAAACCTTCCGTTAGTGTGTGGTTCAGTGTTGATGCTGCAGCAGATATTTATAGAATGGAAGTACACACATATGGAAGATTTCCTTCTAATTAGAAATGTTTACCAGATTCAGTTTTCTGCATGGAACATACCAGTCTTTGACTCATTGCCCTTAGAGCCTAAATTAGGAAAATTGCAGATATGCTTTATTCTGGATTACCTATTCTGATATAATGGATAATTACCATGCATATTTCTGCAGAGTAAGTAATATCAGGGAGGTTGCTTGGTTTGCTTGAGAAGAGGACTAGTTGGTTTGGAGCCCATTCCTTGTCCCCAGACCCAGAGCTTGAGGTAGACCTGCCTGGGGGTTCTAGACCTGAAATACAGACCTTGATCCAGAATTCTTTTTTTTTTTTTTTTAATATTTATGTATTTATTTGGCTGCATTGGGTCTTATCTGCGTCACACAGGATCTTTTGATGCGGCGAACAGGCTTCTCTAGTTGTGGCATGCGAACTCTTAGTTGAACCACTGGAATAGAGGAAAGTGTAATGAGTACACCTAAATCTTGGCAATAGACTTAATTTCACATTCTAACTTTGGCACTTACTACTTTGTGACCCTGATCAAATTACTCAACTTCTGTAAGCCTGTGTCCGCATTTGTCACATCAGGATGATAATGCGTAATTTGTGGCTTTATTGTGCAGATGAGTTTGGAGGGACTGCTGATAAAGCTTTCAGCATGGTTACCAGCACAGAGTAGCCATCCTGTCTCCCCAGCTGCATACTCTGAGCACCGGGAGTCCCAGATCACGTATTGTAGGTTTCACATCTCTTTGTAGCTTCCTTCACGTCGTAGGAAGTCAAGAAACGTTTCTGAGAGGTTAGCTTTCCCTAAATGAAAGAAGAAATGTATGTTCCTCTTATTCTTACTGTACAAAGTGGCTGATCTTTCTGGGATCTGAAGGGTTTGTAGATAAAGGTTCCCGCTTATTTTTGAAAAGTCGCAGCACAGTTGAATCACTTGCTTTTCCAGGGTTTCCTATACACTGTTATCAATCTTTTGATCAGTTCTTAACTCTCCTTGTTTCGCCCTGGTGACCTTGTGCAGGGTCAGGAAGGGCCATCCTCTGGTTTCTGGTGATCGTGGTGAAGACACCCCTTGCCTCCTCCAGGCTGCTTCTGTGGCCTCAGGCGTGGGGTGTATTTGCCCCCCAGCTTTCATTTCTTTTTCTTTTAAAATCAGCTTTATTGAAGTCTATTTTATGTTTAGCTTTTATTTCTAAAGCCGAAAGAAGAAAAAGGGTGCTGTGTTGTCAGTGTTTGTTATTTGTGGTGCATTCAAGGTGTGCCACAGGTGATGGGGTTTTAAAATGCTGTTGCTGTTCTTTATATTTTTTTAATTAATTAACTTATTTATTTTTGGCTGCGTTGGGTCTTCGTTGCTGCGCACAGGCTTTCTCTAGTTGGGCGAGCGGGGGCTACTCTTCGTTGCAGTGCATGGGCTTCTCATTGCGGTGGCTTCTCATGTGGAGCACGGGCTCTAGGCATGCAGACTTCAGTAGTTGTGGCACGAGGGCTCAGTAGTTGTGGCAGTGGGCTCAGTAGTTGTGGCTCATGGTCTCTAGAGCGCAGGCTCAGTAGTTGTGGCGCACGGGCTTAGTTGCTCCGCGGTACGTGGGATCTTCCCAGACCAGGGCTCGAACCCGTGTCCCCTGCATTGGCAGGCGGATTCTTAACCACTGCGCCACCAGGGAAGTCCCTGTTGCTGTTCTTTAAACGTGGCTTTTATTTTCTTCTGTACTCGAAAGGGTAGCCGATATTTTACTTTTTAAAACCTTATGGTTTAATTCATTGCCCTGTCCAGAAGCCTTGTGAAGAAGTGGCTGCTTGCCGTTAAATGAAGCTTGGTAAGGGCAAGGCTCTGAATTTGGTGACTTTGCTACGATACGTAGGTACAGCATGTAGCTCTGGATTTTTGAGTTATCATTAACTCTTTCTCTTATCATGCTTGTCACTAACATTTATTATGCTCTTTCAGACATTCACAGTTTTATGTGCTTCCTTTGTATTATGCTGTCTATTCCTCACCACAGCTTTGTGAGGCCAGAGGTGTTCTTACCTTCACTCTGAGGAAGGTGTTAAAAGTTTGCCACAGGCCCCCAGTTACTGTGGGGAATCAAGACTGGAATACAGGTGGTGCAGTCTGGAATCCATGCTCTTGACTGCCGGGTGGTGTGAAATGTCTGCATAGGAAGACTGGGGAGCATTTTAAATGACAGCATGTCTTGTGAAGAGGATGCATTCATGTCTCTGTTTGTGGAAATGGTTTACTTCTACGTTTGTCTACGTTTAGTATTTATTTACCATTTAAATGATCTCACTGGTCCTTTTGTCAATGAATGCATTATGATCAAGCCAGTATTGTTCAATTTTAGAATAGAAAATTAATTTTAAGTTGGTAAACATTTTTATGTTCTTGGATTTGATCAGTGTGGTAGTACATATGATTCTGTACTAACTTGGAAATCTCCTCCTCAAAATGTTGGGTATGCAGCTCAGAAATTCGGGGAAGTCGCTCCTTCAAGGGAGTTGAGCCCCTTTCCCAGCTCATTCCTCTGTGCTTCCTCAGCGCTGGGCGCAGTGTTTTATCTTTCATCCTGACGATGTTCACGAGTGAAGTACAGCTGCTGAATTTTCTCATTAGTTCTCACTAGTCAGAGTTAGAAAGAAGAAGGAGCAGAGGGCGATTTCGGGACAGAGCGGATGAGGACAGTGTCCCCTGGCTCTAGTCCTCTGTGAGTGAGGCAGGTATTCGCCACACTTCTCCATTCAGTCTGGCATGTGCTCGTCTGAGCAGCTTGTAGCATTTACCTCCTGTCTGTCCTAGCGAGGAAGAGAGATCCGGTGGGTGCCTTCACTTTCCAGTAGCAAAGCTTCTGGCTTGAGGAGAGCCCTCTGCTGTCTCGCTCCACCCCTGCAAGCATCAGTGTCTCGGAGCAGTGCTGCCTGTCTGGTTCCCCACCCCCACCCCCCGGCGCTGCGTCACAAGGCCTTGCCCAGTCTGCTCGCCCTGTGTCCTTTGTTAAGGTGCCCATGTTGTGACCAGAGTCAGGAGACACTGTGGACAGTTGCTGTCCTTGTGTTCCTCTGTGCATTTTAGAATTTGGGAGGAAGCTCACTCTGGGTGGCCAGCAGGCCAGGGAGACACCTTCAAGTGAAACCTCCACATTAATTATTCCCAACTCCCTCCTTTTATGTCTGCGACAGGACCTATTTCTAGCGCGCCGAGGTGGAGAAGAGCCAGTTTATGTTGTTAACACCATAACAGACAGTCTCTGACACGGTTCATAGGTGCCTAGAAGAAACGTTAGAGACTGTGCTGACCAAGCCCTTGTTTTCTGGCTGAATTTGAGGTCAGGGAAGGGGAGCCATAGCTAGTCAGTTCCTGAACCAGAGCACGGTCTCCTGGCTCCCAGCCCGGACTCTGCCTCCAGGTCTGTACTGCTGCTGACTCACACGCAGAAAACTGGCCCCGCCCCGGGGTGTGACCTCCGTCCCCTAAGTGGGATGCAGCCCCGTCAGGGACCCCTCTGTGGCTACGCTGATCGCTGACTCCTGGTCAAGCCGATGGCAGCCCAGGGTCTCTGCAGCCTGTGCTGCCTCCTGCTGGTGAGGCTAAGTATGGTTTGTAGGCAAGAGAGACATACTGTGATAAGACAAGTGAGGCAACAGAGGTCTATCCTGGGGCATGAAGCTTGCTTGATTCATTGATTGTTTTTTTTCCACAATCATAATTATTCACTGTAAATGGTTGTAAGATTGCCCATCATTATTGTCGGATTCTGGATTCTGGGGTGCTTAATTGCTTTAAGTTCACTGGCTGTGAACAGAAATACTGTTTTTGAAAATAAACCATTCTTCTTATAACTAAAGATTTTTTAAAAACTATATTAGTCTAGAATTAAAAGGATCAGAGTTTTATCAGGTAGAGCCCATTCATATTATAGATGGGGGAAATGAGACCCAGAGAAATTTAATAAGTGACTTAGAAATTTAATAAGTTATGGTTATTAAGTCAGTATCAATAGAAGTCTTCTGACTTAGTTCATTTCTACCATTTAGTTTGAATTTCCTGTGAGCTAGACCGTGTATTTGTGAGTTTTCCATACATTATTTCTAATTCTTACCATATTTCTGTCTAATGGATATGGTCCCCCTTTTATAGATATGAAAATGGAAGCTCAGGCAGCTTAAGTACCTTGCCTAGGGAATGAGTGATTGAGCAGTAATACAGGGGTGGTCTGAGTCCCAAGGTCGTGATTTAACAGTGCGCCATGCTGTCTCTTAACTGTTTCCTTTAAGATTTGTGTTATCTTAATTGACTTAATTTATCCCGGTGATAGTCTGTTCCTTATGTTCATTGTCAGACACAAGCTGTGCTTCTTGAGGAAGGTTAACCCAGTTGAGTGCAACAGCCAGTATTAAAAATCTGGAACCTTAAATTCTTACTGAAGACACTTTGCTCCTCTCAAGTGCCTCATTGTCCTTGGAATTCATTTAACATCTTTGGATACTGGATCAGGTTAACTCTTATCTGAGTAGCTTCTCACACAGTAAAACAACCTAAGAACTATGAAAGAACTAAGGTGGAAAGTTAGGAGCAACCTGTGCGTAGGTGGTGGTGAAAAGATATTTTTGGAAAGATGCTGACATTTTAACTTTGAGTTAATATTTGATGATTGAAATGAAGTTTCAGTTGGAATAATTTAAAACAGTTTAAAGTTTCTAAAAACTCTTAATTCCTTTTACTCCCACAGGCTGGAAGTCATCAGTGTACCTGTCCATTAATTTCTTGTACTTCTCATAATTCCTCTTGTTATTCAGATATAAAAACTCCACATGATATTTCAGTTTGTTGAGAGAAGATACGTGAATGCCAGTGAATAACATACAGGCTCGTTGGATTGTGTTCCCTTCAGGATTATAACCTTATTCTCTATGGAAATATATAATGATCTCTTTCTTCCTATTGGTTCTTTGACATTTTAAACATAATTTAAATATATTCTAATCGAAGTATTATCTAAAACATTCAATATTAATTCTAAGGTAAAAAGTCAAGGCCCAATGGAGACAGGGAACTTCTATTGCTATGTGTCAAACATCTAGAAGGGTGTATGGTCTGTTACAGGAGCTCAACTGTTGTTCAGTCAGTGAAGTCATGTAAAAGTATTTCCAAGGAAAAGTTTTTTTAGATATGTGTGGGGATTTTCATCTTGTTTAAGAGATAGGTCTCCCTTTCATTTTCTTCTGAAACCTCTTTCCCTTGACTTACTAATGTTTTGTCGTCTGTTAAGATTGTTTAGCCAGGAACTCAAGGTAGACAGGAGCATTGGGTTTTTTGCTGAGAACTTGTCAGAGCTGATTGATATTATATATCTTCTGCTTGTCTTTTTCTCACTTCCTTGTCTAGTGTTGTCAAGGCCCCTAAATGACTTAAAATGTTTGAATGAGGATGTTTATCAAATGTTAATGTTTATTGAGCTTGTAGAGTTTCTGGTGTATGGGAACATGAACTGTATTTTTTAAATATTTTTTTCCTTATGGAAAGAATTGCAACAATTCCTCTCTAATGGAAATAATTCCAGAAAAACTTTGGCCGTGCATTTAGGTCACCATACTCTGTAATTTTTGTGATATATATGATATGTAAATGATATATATAACAAGTACATGAGTATCTTGGCGTAGCATTTTCTTTTAGTTCAGTGCTATAGTGTTGCCTGGATACCAGGGCTATTTAATCCTCCTTTCCTGCAGTATTAAAAATGTACACACATCATTAGCCATTATGGGAATGCAGATCAATGAGATACACACTGCACACCCAGTAGGGTGACTAAAATAAAAAGACAAGTATTGGCCATGATGAAAAAATTGGAATCCTCGCACGCTGCTGATTGGAGTGTAACATGGTGCAGCCATAGTATAAAACAGTTCGGCAGCTCATTGAAAAGCTAAATGTAGAGCTACTGTATGACCCAACGACTGCACTCCTAGGCATATACCCAAGAAAAATAAAAAACATATGTCCACACAAAACTTGTACATGAATGTTCATAGCAATATTATTTATAATAGCCATAAAATGGAAACAACTCAGATATTCATCAAGTGAATGAAATGTGGTATTTTCAATGGAATATTATTTGGCATTTAAAGAAATGCGGTATTGATACATGCTACCCTTGGATGAACCTTGAAAGTACTGTGCCAGTTACAGAAGACCACTCTGTATCATTCCACTTATATAAAATGTCCAGACCCAGCAAAGTAGATTAGCGGTTGCCTAGGGCTGGAGGAGTTGGGAGGAGAGGGGGAGTGACAGCTAATGGGTGTACAGTGTTTTCTTCTTTGTGTGATGAAAATGTTCTAAATTAGATAGTGGTGAGGGCTGTACATCTAGAAACCATTGAATGGTACCTTTAAAAGGGTGAATTGTGTGACATGTAAATTATACCTTACTGAAGTTGTTATTTAAAAGAGTATATGTATAGATGCGTTTGCTTCCATGAGCATAAGTTATCTCCAGGATGATACACATTGCTTGCTTCTGGGAAAGAGCTGGGATCCTCTGGGGGCCGGGGTGGGAGGAAGATTTTTACTAAGACCCTTTGTATCCATTGTATTTTGTACCTTGTAATGATTTTAACTATTTTACAAACAAATGTTAAATAATAAAGGTATTAATAAGTCATCTCCTCTCTTGATTTCACGTGATCAGGTCCTTCAGGGGTTAGATTATCTACACAGTAAGTGCAAGATCATTCATACTGACATAAAGCCGGAAAACATCTTGATGTGCGTGGACGATGCATATGTGAGAAGGATGGCAGCCGAGGCCACCGAGTGGCAGAAAGCGGGCGCTCCTCCTCCTTCGGGGTCTGCAGGTGAGGGCTGAGCCAGCTTTGTTTCAGTCTGTGCGGGGCATTGAGAGCCTGCCAGGTTGTACACTGGGGGCAGTTGAGTCAGATGTGTATGTATTAGGGGCTTTTGTAAGAGCCTGATGACTAGAAGCCGCTAGACCTTTTTCTTAAGCAGGAAGATGCCCCAGTTAAGTTATACTTTAATGTTAGAATTACTTTGTCCTCCCTTAAAAGGTCATTGAATTCTTACCTGCTGCTTCATCTCCTTGGAACACTGTCCTGTGTTGCCCACTTCTCTGCAGAGGACTGTCTCTTATAGCAAGAGGTCTCATGTAGCCGACGTTCAGTCGTCAGAGTGCTTCCTTGATTCCAGTGAGCACAGCTACATCAATCTGAGTCTAGCTGGTGGATTTAGAATTAGTTTCAAAAGACTTCAGGGTGGGAGAAGACCAGCTGACTTGAGTATTGGTGTATGTAGTTTAATTTCTGGTTTTCGCAGTGTCGTGGTGGCAGTGAAGTGTGGACGGTGCTTTCACCCTCTCTTCACGTGCTGTCTGCCCTAGTGTGTTGTCAGGCAGGCACGAGGACTGCAGGGCAAAAGCCCTCTGTCTGCCTGGGGCTCTTGGGACATGCACCACTTCTGAATCTCGTTTTCTAACATCAGGGTGTTTTTTAGATCACGGAACCATAGTCTATCAAGCTTCTGACACTGGCCAAGTCTGTTCATGTGATTTCTAGAATATTTGCTGCAGTATTGGACTTAACTTTAGTTGTATAAACTTGTGAAATAGTTTTCAAACATAGTTGTGTAAGTGAATTGTTCATTTCATTGTCTTTAAACAAATTTGGTTGGATGACTCTTCTCCATTTTCTTATCAGTCAGTGCTTTGGGATTGTCTGTTTTTGAAATGAATGCGTATTTAATTTTAGATAAGTAAGAGAAATGACTCCATATGAACCGCTATGGCTTTGCCTTTTAAGAGCCAATCATTTGTTTGAGTTGGATAAACTTTAGGTCTCTCTGATTCAGAAGTTTTAATATTTAACAGTTGTTGAAGTTGCATAGCCATTAAAAGACAGTAGTTATTTCATTTTACAGTTCAGATTACCTACATAAAGATAAGTATCTATTTCGCTCTAAATGTTCATTTTATTTTGTTTTGTTCTAGTGAGTACTGCTCCACAGCAAAAACCTGTAAGTACCTACACATATACTTATATTCACCTCCATGTCAAAAGTGACTATTCATTATTGAACTTTTCGAATTGTAACATTAGTTTTTGTTTCTTTCTGCAACAATTTTTCATTAAGGATTGTTCGGGGGAATTGGTTGTGCATTTTTTTGTTCCTTTCTCAATCACAGATGTTGTAATGTATTTTAATGTAAAAGACAGTCATGTTTATAAATGCTGGGTATCCTTGATTATGTAAGACAATGTTTTGATAAGGGGAAGTGATTTTTGGAGTTGGGGGATAATTAGAGCTGTCCCAAATGCTGTCTTTGTTTTCCTCATGCACTTTCTGGAGTGCTCTTGGCTGGGTCTGGTAAAATGGGAGGTTATAGAGATAGGGTTTTAAGAGTGATTGTTCCCAAAACACTTTATATTATTTCTGATCTGCCTCTAAGTTACCTGTTTTTCTGAAGCTGCTGTTGTGATTTTTTTACTTCCAGGTAGTAGTTAAACATGAAAGAGTATTATCTTTGTGGTCCTGTCAGAATGCTGAGTGTGAGCAAATGAAACAAGCTGTTTGGAATTAAATCCTACCCCAGCGGAGCTAAACCTGGCTTGGTTCCAGTCGAGCATAGAATATATATATATATATATATATATATATATATATATGTATGTCTTGAGTTGATGGGTCATCTACAAGTTTTAAAAGATCTTTATAAACCAAAAGCTTTTGGAAGGAAATGTGCAGAACTTCAGAGTGCTGCCAGCAGCCCTCAGTTTGGAATGGAAGTCTGAGTAGGAGAGGGAGATGTAAGAATTATTCCACCTGACCTGCTGAGTTCTGCTGTGGTTTGAGCAGCTTGTTTTGATTATTGACTCTGTGAAAGACTGGAGGCTCTCGTTGCCAGTACTTTCCAAGTCAGCTCGCCATGATTGGAGGCAGACTGAAACCATGGCTTTTTCTTTTTTCCCTTTACTTCATGTGCTCATTTTTTACAGTTCCTGCAGTCCTGGCTGTTGATAACGGCTCAGTGTGTGAGACCCAAACACAGACAGTGCTGTTGACCAACAATGAATGAAATACACCTGATTTGGCAGGCAGTTGAGTAAGACAGTTAAGGAGAAGGGGACATTGTTACTTTATAGACAGGCAGCAGCACATAAAACTTGCAAGAGGTGCTTCTTGTTTAAAGGCAAGAGTATCTATCTCAGCATATTTAGTTCTTTCTTAGAGTTTAAAGGGGAAAGACTTGCTGCATTTAAGCTATATTCCTCTAAGGCCAAGACCTGGTAGTAGTCCCGTTACGTGATATTAGCACTGGTTTCTTTTTTTCTGGTTTTGCTGTAACCCTAACCGTGATGTGGATCTCATGTCTGGGCATGTGATTTTAATTGAATGCGACCTGAGAAAAACAGCCTGTGTTGGTATTTGCCGTGCTGCCAGCACTTACGCTGTTGCATGGTGCTTTAAAAAGAAGCAAACTGACCTGTGGTATTTTCTTAACATGTTGTAGATAGGAAAAATATCTAAAAACAAAAAGAAAAAACTGAAAAAGAAGCAGAAAAGGCAGGCTGAGTTATTGGAAAAGCGCCTGCAGGAAATAGAAGAATTGGAGCGAGAAGCTGAAAGGAAAATAATAGAAGAAAACGTCACATCAGCTGTACCTTCCAATGAGCAAGATGATGAATACCACCCAGAGGTGAAACTAAAAACAGCAGGATTAGAGGAGGCAGCCGAGGGTGAGACTGCGAATAACAATGGTCAGTGGAATCTGGAGACAGGGCTGCATAGGAGCCCAGGAGCTCCCACAGTAGGGACCCGCCCGGTCACCACGCAGGGTGACTTGGTGCTGCGCTGATGCTTCAGACAGGAGGGTGGTTTCTCTCCAAGGCCTTGTTGGAGAGCGTGGGGAGTTGTTTGGTACTTGCTTTGTAAAATGTGTGCCAGAAGTATGTTAATATTTCAAAATAGTTTTTTTTTTTAATGTCAAATGTCTGAGAAACACCATGTCTTTATCATGCTAACGATTGTCCTTCATTTTGTAATTAAGCTTTTACTTAATGGTAGTGTACCCTCAGACTTTTTCTGAAGATTATAGAGGAGAGGGTAGAAATGGAAGTACAGCTCCATTTATGCCCATTTTCCCAAAGAGCTAACTTTTTCTAATAAGAGTAGGCCAGTTATTTAATAAATGAAAGATAAGATTTAGAGTACCTAAAGATTTTACCCTGAGAGCCAAGAGGTGTCTGCTCTGTAGCACATGAAATTAGCACATTCGAATTTGTCTCTTGTTGGAGGAGATGAGTGCCTACTGCACTGTGTTACGGAGAGAGACAAGTTCTCATTCTTACCCTTCAACTTTTTAAGGCGAAGCTGAGGACCAGGAGGAGAAAGAAGACACTGAGAAAGAAAACACCGAGAAAGACGAAGACGATGTTGAGCAGGAACTCGCGAATGTAGACCCTACTTGGATGGAATCACCCAAAACCAATGGCCATATTGAGAATGGCCCATTCTTACTGGAACAGCAGCTGGACGATGAAGACGATGATGAGGAAGATTGCCCAAATCCCGAGGAATATAACCTCGATGAGCCAAATGCAGAAAGCGATTACACATATAGCAGCTCCTACGAACAATTCAATGGTGAATTGCCAAATGGACGACATAAAATTCCTGAGTCCCAGTTTCCAGAGTTTTCCACATCGTTGTTCTCTGGGCCCTTAGAACCTGTGGCTTGTGGCTCTGCACTTTCTGAGGGATCCCCGCTTACCGAGCATGAGGAAAGCAGTCCATCCCATGACAGAAGCAGGACGGTTTCAGCCTCCAGCACTGGGGATTTGCCAAAAAGTAAGTGTCCCTTCCCATCAGGTGTCTGCTTTCAGTGGTCCAAGTGTCATACCCTTGACACATGCTGTGAAGGGAATTGGCTGGAGATGGTAAAGCCGTGTATGTATGCGTTAACCATTTTCATTTTATTACTTCTGTACTCATGAATAAGTTAATGTAATTTTAAATGTATTCTGTGCCACTAGGCTCTCTCTTTCTCTTTGCATATCAGGTCCCATTTCTGAGTTTTTTTCCTTGTAATTTTAAATATATTCTGTGCCACTAGGCTCTCTCTTTCTCTTTGCATATCAGGTCCCATTTCTGAGTTTTTTCCCTTCTTCCTGTCTTTAGCTAGTGATCATACATTTGCAGAAACCTTCCAAACCTAGCATCTCACCCCTGTAGCTTTTTAGCGTGTGTAGTTTAATTCACAGTTTGTACTTCCACCTGACAGTGTTATATTTAGTTTTTGGTTTTTTGTTTTGTTTCGTTTCTATTCAAGGAATAATGTGCCTGCTCTTTATTTGTAGTGAGGAGGAAGTGTCTTACTTTATTTTGATAGCTGTTCTTGATTATAAGACTCTTCTTTTGACATTTTAAAGGAAGCGGTGTGGGTTTAAATGTGATGATGATGTATATATATCAAAACCTGATTTTGAGGGTGAGTGCCACATGACAGATCTCCGCCTGTGGCATGCTAGGGGACTTCAGTAGGCAAACCCTGGGTGTCACACACAGTTGGTCTCCATTCTGGCCCACAGTGGAAGAGCTCAGAAACCTCCTCTGCTCCCTCTGCTGGCAAGAATGTTAACACATGGTGAGTCAGTTGATGAGCCGGCCCTGCAAATAGCTCAAGATGTTCTGCAGCCCCTTTGATTCCAGTAGCTGAGAGACCTGCAAAGCCTTCTCTGTTACTCATTGGCCACAGCTAGTCATCCTAAGGATATATATAATTTTTAACTGGACAGACACATTCTGCTCCTGTTTACCTTTACCCTGACCAGAGGGTTTGAAGGTGCTTAATGAAATGCCTTCACAAGGAATGTAGCCTCATCTGAGGAAAAAGCTACCTCTGTGTCTCCTTTACTCTCATTCTGCTCCCATATTACTGCTGACACTTTTGGTTACCGAGCGCATGTGTGTAGGGGTGTCTCCCCACCTAAACAGTTCTCCGGCAACAGCTCGGTGTCTTGCAATTGAAGTGAGGTCTGACACTACTTGGAGAGAGTGTCAGATCCCAGGGTTAAGGGCTCAGTCTCACAAGACTGTGTCGGTCTCCCCCTGCACTCCCCCCACATCCATCCCAAGTCCATGCTGTCACCTGTGCTTCTGAACAATCGGCTGTAAATCAGAGGTTCCTGTGACGCTGCCCTGGGGCTGGATTAATTTGTTAGAGCAGCGCACGGAACTCAGGAAAACAGTGTACTTGCTAGACAATCAGTTTATCAAACAAGGATGTAAGTCAGGAACATCCAGATGGAAGGGGTGTGTAGGGCATGGTGGATGGGAAAGGAGGGAGGCTTTCACGCTCTTGCTAGAGACACCACCCTTCCTGCAGTCTCTCACGCATTCCTTCATATCGTGGGCTCATGGATTTTTTTTTTCTCTTTAACACATCGAATTGTGTGTTATCGTTTACAGCTTTTTTTTGAATGCCAGGATTATCCCACATTTGGTCTGTGTGAGCCGCCTCAGGTTGGCTCTTAAGTCCTTTTGACAGAACCCCGTTATTCCTCAGGTGCCCCCTTGCTCTTCTAGAACCATGTGCCCAGGTTCATACTTTCCCTGCCCCAGGCTGGAGTCGGCCATGTCTCCAAGTAATTTTTGCTATTGATATTTTTAAAATGTTTTTTATAATGTACATAATATATGGGAACAGTAATATGTGAAGTTCATAAACATGCACATATTGAAATGAGTGTTCAAACATCTCTTACTGGTGGAGTAAACAGTGAAAAGGTTTAGTAATCTCAAGTGTAGCAGAGTCTCTTCCCCATTTATTTTTGAGACATAATAACAAGTGTCTGTGTGAACGTGGCATGCTTGCTCATGCTTCTGTGCCTTTGCTGATGCCTTCCCTCCTGCTTGGAGTGCTTCCTCCTGTGTGTTTGGGCACACCTCTTTTCTTCTGTTGGGTCCTCACTGTGTTCCCTGGCAGATCCCAGTTCTTGTTCCCCTCTTTTCTTGCTGGTCACACTTTTCTTCACTGTGTGTTAGTTGTTCGTTTCCACTGTCTTCCTCTTCACTAGGATGTAAATGCTTTGAGAGTGCTGTGTATTTCCGTCTTTGTATCCTCAGCATCTGACTCAGTGCTAAGATAAGCATTTATTGAATAATAAACCAACAAATCAGTGATACCTGACTATATTCTTCCGTTCTTCCCGTTCTCCCACCTTTGCCCATTCACAGTCGGAATTTTACTTTGTCCAAAACACATTCTGTCCCCAGCACCCTGGCTGTTGCGTGAATATTGCATCAGGGAGAAATAGGAGGTCTGTTTTTTTCATTGATCCTAGTCTCTTACCAAGCTGACCTTTTCGTTGATCCAGTCATTTATTTGGAGGCCCTCGGCTTGGGTTTGCAGCCTGGTCTTTGGATAACCGTGGACAGCCTCCCGCAGGGGAGGTGTTTTGTTTCCTACATGGAAGGGGTATGGTCTAGAGACTGGAAGTTGGCCACCAGATACTACGAGAACATGAGGCGAGAGAAACATCCTTCCCTGAGTTTGTGTAGATCCTTGTCGTTATAGCAGAATGGATACGTTAGGAAATAGTAGAGGAAAAGCTGGGGCCACAATGAGAAGATTGAGAAAGAACTTACATGCCAGGCTAAGGATGTGAACTTCTCCCTGGAGTAGTTTTGTAGCCATTGAAGGTTGAGAAGAGGAGGGTTCCTCTTGGGTTATTACTGCTGGAGCCGTAGCACGTATCTGGGCTCAGCACATCTGAAGCACAAAGGCCTGGGAGCAGGGTGGTACATGCAAGGTGTATGTTGAATCCTTTCCCCCTCGCCTAGTAGTGACCATGTCAGTGGCGGTGCTTGGCTAGGCTGCTGGAACATGACTCCACACTCTTCTCACTCCACTGTTGCTCCTAGTCTGTTCCCCAAGGAACAGTCCCGAGAGAGCCTTTTTTTTTTTTTTTTTTTTTTTTTTTTTTAGCAGTACGCGGGCCTCTCACTGTTGCGGCCTCTCCCGTTGTGGAGCACAGGCTCCGGACGCGCAGGCTCAGTGGCCATGGCTCACGGGCCCAGCCGCTCCGCAGCATGTGGGATCCTCCTGGACCGGGGCACGAACCCGTGTCCCCCGCATTGGCAGGCGGACTCTCAACCACTGTGCCACCAGGGAAGCCCCCCGAGAGAGCTTTTGAAAGCACATTCCACCCCCCCACCGTGTAGCATAACCCGCAGAGGCGTCATTGTCCAAAGCTTACAGCCCTGTACTGTCCGTCCCGGCCGCGCTCTTTCTGGTATCGTTCCCCACCCGCCTCTATGTCCCCTGCTCATTCTGCCCCTCCCACACTGTCTTCTTTCTGAGCTTTCTCAAGGTTGCAAGCTTGTTTCTGCCTCTTGGCGCTTTCCACTTGCTGTCCTCTCTGCCCAGAGCTTCTCTCCTCTGTGCCTCCCTTTGTTCAGGCCTCTCCTCAAAGGTCACTTTCTCAGAAGAGACGCCGTCTGCACACCCGCCCGTGGCCAAACACCCTCATCAAGAGCCGTCTCCTTCCTCGGCTGTGTTTTTCTTCTTAGCATGTAGAGCTGCTTGACATGATGTGTGACTCATCCATTTTATTTATCACCCATATTCCCAGCAAGTGCGTGAGTTTCCTAATTTGGGATGTGGTGGCGGAACCTTGTATGTCTTGTTGATTCTCTTCCCAGTGCCAGGGCAACGTCTGGCACATAGAGGGCACTCAGTAAATACTCACAGTACCTATTTGTGAACAACTAGGTCAGGTTTGGACATTAAGTCTCCTAGTTCTGCTCTTTCTTTGGGCTGGTACTGAATCTCCTGCATATAAAGAGGGTACTCATGCCTTCCTTGTAAGGATGTTTTAAACATAAAAGTGTCAGTGTGGGGCTGCTTCATCACTGAGGCCCCACCGGCTGCCATTTTCCTGGTTCCTAGGATCACCTCAGATGGAGTGAGTACAGTGTCACCCAGAGACCAGGTTATCAGAATGACTTCAGGACTCCAGCCCTTCCTGAAGTGAAGTCTTCCCGCCTCTCTCTTCCCACTTTTCATTCCCTCCTTGATAGAAGCAGAGAGCAGGGAAGAGCTGTGATAGTTGCATGATAGTGCCTGAATCACGGGAGGTGATCTGATTTCTGGGCAAAGCAAAACTCGTACGACTGCACAGCAAGTGTGGCTGTCCCTGTGTTTAAACGGGCCTTTTTGAGTGTTGTACTCAGGTAACCTTTTACAGATTACCTAGAGCAGGAAACTAGCACGCTGGGAAAAGAAGTGCAAGCGGATTCTCTTTTACGTCCTTTGCGTTCTTAACACAGTTAAAATTTTGAGGTGAATTCCCTAGTATCATCTGGAATGCATCGTGCGCCTGGTAACCACACACAGACACAAGCTAGGAGAATAACAGCATGTCACCAGAGACTTGGTCTAGTGCTCGTAAGTGAGGGATATTAAATACAAAGAAACTATACAGGTGGCCCTTGAATTAACCATGGTTCGATTGTACGATGGTGTGGAAGCGAAACGCGCTCTGTAGAAGCTGTGCTTCACATCTTGAATTGTGATCTTTTCCCGGGCTAGCGATACACTGCACGATCCCACCTTGTGATGCTGGGCAGCCACGCGATCACACGAGTGGACAGCTGGCACAGGTACCACCACTCTGTGCCCAGACAGCCCTTCTGTCTTTCACTTTCAGTACAGGATGCAGTAAATTACATGAGATATTCAACACAGTTTATTATGAAGTAGGCTTTGTGTTCGTTGTTTTTTTGCCCAACTGTGGGCTAACATAAGTGTCCTGAGTGATGTTGAAGTTACTAGGCTCAGCTATGACGTGTGGTAGGTGATGTGTAATTAAATGCATTTTGAACTTATGATATTTTCAACTTGAGATGGGTTTTTTGGGACATAACCCCCATCGTAAGTCGAGGAGGATCTGTACTGGAGGTGTGTGATGTTGTGTTTTTAAGGTGTTTTTCATCTAGCTGAAGTGACTCGTGTGTGATGTCTTTAGAACAACGACTGGAGGAGGGTGGCGGTTTCAGATCCCCTCTTTCCACTCAAGCACCCTTGACGGCAGCTCACTCAGAACCTGCCGCTTCATCCTCTTCTCTTGCCAGGCCTTTGATCTCAGTGGTTTGCAGTGCTGGAAGCCACGGCTTGGCCTCCCATCCTCTCTGTGCCGCGGGGGCTTTGGCTGGTCCCTCACTGGCCGTTTAGAAGCCCTGGCCTCAGAGGGTGGTCTGGCTGGTGGCAGGCAGGAGGGAGCCTCTGGATCTGGCCAGCCAGGCGCTGTCGTAGCTCTCCTGTGTTTGGTCTTTTTTTCATTTGTATTTTTTGGCGGAGGAGGGGTGGTCCCTTCCTCTTCCTCCTTTACTGGGAACTGAGCCTCAGAGTTTAAGTCATTTGCCAGAGTCTTGTAACTTACAGACGTAGAAACAGATTTGAATCCAGTTCTGCAAACCTCACATTCCATTTTCTTGCCCACCGAGTCTTCTTTACTAAATGACATGAGGGATTCATCTGAGCCGTTTCCGGTGCTGGCCATCCGTCTGTTGGGCCGGCATTTTTATGTTTCTTCTAGAAGTCGGTTTTGCAGCCACTCCCTGCTCGGTGTGAACACCTTGCCTCTTCGTGTGTGTCTTTGTGCTGCCGTCCTTCTCATCATTTCTCATTTCCTGTGTTTCTTCTCCTCGGCTCGTACCTGGCCTTTGGTGAGGCCTCACTTTGGTCAGTGCCCTCTTAAAGAGGGACGTGATGTGGGGCAGATAGCAAGGAGGGAACGTGTGGGCCTGGCTGGCTTGGGTTGGTCCGTAAGTCTGAGGAACAGGTCTTGAGGGTTAAAACGTTGCCAGAGTTCTCTTGCATTTTCTGGCCCCTCCTGGGGAGCTCTGTGGGCGCCCTGGGTCCTGGGTGCGTCGCCTACTCCCTGCCCTGCTCACGGCGCATGCAGCCTGACCTTGCCGCCCACCTGGGGTGCCGAGCCCCACAGCACGGGCCTACCCAAAGGAGGGACAGTCATTCCAGCAGTCCCCACCTTCGAGTGAGCTCAAGGGTGTTTAATATTCTGCACTGAGCGGGCTTTTCTGTTTTGTCTGTGAGTACCATTTCAGAATTACTTCTGAAATGAGTGAAAAGCCATGGTTACATCTCATCTTTACCGGAAATCCCAGCTTGCCGGTCAGTTTGAGGTTTGATGGAGCTGCTGAGTCACTTCAGCATTTTCTGTCTGGGCCTCACCACATTATGCTTCTTTGTCACTGCCCCCTGGTTAACTGTGCTTTCTTGCAGGCCTGGTCTGTGCTTATCTGAAAAGCTTCTCTGGCCCCGCAGCCCTGAGAATCCCGGCCCCGTGCCTACTGTTGAGAATTCCTCAGGGTTCCTGGGGGTTGAGAGTGGCTTGGGTATTTGACAAGTCTGTGAGGGACCTCAGAGGGCCCGGGCCGTCTCAGGAGACCTCTGTTCTGCAGTGTTACGTGTCCACAGCTAAACCAGAATTGACTGGTCCCTGCCCTTAATCTGTATTTGTTAATCGGCCATCATCTAACACTTGAGGTCTTTGTGCTCGGCCCAGGCAGAGGGAGAGGTGAGGGCTGTGGGCCACTTAGGAAGGGATGGGCACCCCCTGGGGAGCGTTCTCTCTACCCTCACGTTAAGTAATAATGCACCTCTGAGCTAGACGTGGTCCGTTAGGGAACTGGCGTGGCCCAATGAGGAGCAGCTAAAAGATACAGGAACCAAGCAGGGATGACCTGCTCGGTGAAGGATGGGGAGAAAAGAGGAGGGGCAAAGCAGTGTCCATGGGGTCTCTGGGCAGTTTGCTCTCTTGTGAAGTGTTTTCCAGAGATGGAGACCAAGAATTTAAATTCTGTTGAGTTCAACTTACAGGATTCCAGGCCTAAATGATCACCCACCGCTTTTCTAGAAAAGGACACTGTGCCCAGCAAGTATTGTGTGCACACGCGCAAACCCCTTATCCCAGGCACTAACTGTCCTGCTGTTTGCTCATGCCAGCAAAAACCCGGGCAGCCGACCTGTTGGTGAATCCCCTGGACCCACGGAATGCAGATAAAATTAGAGTTAAAATTGCCGACCTGGGAAACGCTTGTTGGGTGGTAAGTACAGTTTTCTTTCTAAAACATTTCGGTTGTGATCATGTATGAGAAGATGCTTTTTCTCTCGTTTAATGTCTGTGTTCCTCCACGGTAATGCAGTCTGTTCCCTTCCAGCATAAACACTTCACAGAAGACATCCAGACGCGTCAGTATAGATCCATAGAGGTTTTAATAGGAGCAGGTTACAGTACCCCTGCTGACATTTGGAGTACGGCGTGTATGGTAAGAACGGCCTTTGCCATTTTCCTCTGTGTAAAGGCTCATCCTTTTAGTTCCCATGATGGGGCAGCTCCACCAGGGCCTTTGGTCGAAGCTTTCTGACGGTGAGGGTTGTCCACTGAGGGGTGGGTGAGGGGAAGGTGGCTGCCTTGGGTATCTTAAGAGACCTTCTCTGGCATGTCCTGGTGTGTGTTTTGGTTTGGTCTTGTGAGAGACGACCTCGCGAGGCCCTCTGCAGCCCGCGGCCCCGAGAATGAGAGCCCCGCTGTGGTGACAGTGACTTCAGGGAGCTCCTGTGGTTCCTGGAAGCTTGCAGATTGCGCGCGGTCCCCTCACTCAGGCCGTGGAGGAAGATGAGACGGCTGCGATTTAGGGGAAGGTCGTCTGAGCGGCTCTGACAGACCTTGTCTCCTTGCTGGAGAGAGAGGATTTCCCCACATACCAGGGTCCAACCTCTCTCCTGTTAAGCGGAGTCTAGAGACTGCTCTGGCTTACTGCTCTAGGCTGTGTCCAGCCACGTCTGAGGCACCAGCAGCCGCCTGTACCGTTTGACCGAGTCTGTTCCCTTCCTTAGGCAGCTCAGCGATGGTTTTCCTCAGGGCCTCGGGATGCCTCTTGTTTCTCCAGTACGATGTAGCCATTTTCACTGCCACTTGTGTGCATCAAAAGTCTGGTTGTGTCTAAACTCTCCTCAGCCCCACCAGTGCCTCTTCTCACCTACTCCTTACCTGTGAGCCGATAAGCATGAATGGTTCCTCGTCCATAAGCCAGTTTCAGTTTCTCTCTTGGTCCTGTTTCCTGGTCGGCTTGTCACCTTCCTCTTAGTGGGCTGAGCTTTGTAGTCCTTTGTTGGAAGAGGGGATGCATGTGTCTCTTGCTTCACGTGGTGTTTCATGCTTTCCTCATTTTTTCTCCAAATTCTCCTGTGATATTTAAATGAAAGGGCATGGCATGTGTGTAAAGCTTGGTACTTGTCTTCTCACTAAAAAAACAATGCAGAATAAGTGTATTGTCTGTTATTCAAGGATTAACGTAGCACTTCTTTTGGGTGTGTCCTCTGATGCTAAAGTATAGCACTGTTAGCAAGTCGTGCTAAAACAACATGAAAATAGTGGATGTTCTGTGTTTTTCAAGTTTGCAGCCAGTATGGCCCAACAGATCTAGAACAGTGTGCCCTTCTGTTCCCATGTTGCTCTGACGGGTAATGCCAGAGAATAAGTTTAAAATTAAGTTTCTCAGTAAGTATCAAAAACTGAGCCCTTGCCTTGCTAGGTATGGACAAGGAGGGTTAAAAGAATTGGTGGACCAGATGGCTGGGCTGGCCCTGGTGGGCGGGGCTGACTTCTGAATGAGGGAGGTTATCAGAGTGGGAGGAGGGCAGGGGTCGGAGATCATGGGCCAGAGGCCAGGGGGTGTGGGGGGTGGTAGCCACTCTAGTCTTTTTTCTTTTTAATAATTCCTTTTTTTTTTTTTTTGCGGTACTCGGGCCTCTCACTGCTGTGGCCTCTCCCGTTGCGGAGCATAGGCTCCGGACGTGCAGGCTCAGTGGCCATGGCTCACGGGCCCAGCCGCTCCACGGCATGTGGGATCCTCCCGGACCGGGGCACGAACCCACGTCCCCTGCATCAGCAGGCGGACTCTCAACCACTGCGCCACCAGGGAAGCCCTAATAACTCTTTTTAAATTTAAAAAAAAAGAGAGAGAGAGAGAGAATTGGTGGACGTGTCATGGTTCCTTAGAACGCAGGGCCTGCTGTGTGGACAGGGGTGAGGCTCCCTGTGGGCGAGTCGGGGGGCAGCAGGGAGGGGGGCTGGGGGCTGGAAGCAGTGGGAGGCAGCGGCCAGGTCAGCAGAAGGGGGCGCCGTCAGCAGTGGGAGCTGCGGGGCTGTTGGATCTCAGGGTGTGGTGAGGTCAGGCCCTCCTCCTCCCCAGTAGCACAGAAGGGGCCGTGTCGGGGCTGCCCTCATTTACACTCTGCAGGCTCTTTCAGCTCTGAAATCCTGTGCTTCTAATTTGGGGTGTTGAATTTTGGTGATATAACCAGAAAAATAGGACAAGATCACAGATGTAGTCGGATAATGGCGGAGCTGTCAGTACCGTTTTATACCGGGCTCTCTGTCTGGCCTTCTGTGAGGTGAGGGTCTGTCCCTCCACACAGTCTCCTGTCCTGCTGAGCCCTGCAGTTGCTATGAACAGTGGCGTCAGCGTCAAGAGCAGACTCCTGCGGAAAAGCACTCACTCCATCTCCTTTGCCTCCCTAGAAGTGGAGCGTAAGGTCCCTCAGTACTTCTAGGGCTGCTTAGGAAGTTCTTGTTAATCAGTTTAAGGGTGATTTTCTGGGAGCGGGGCAAGCCTGCATCCCCACCCTCCCCCGTCCCCGGAGGCCGCGGCTGAGAGGTCGCCTCTTGTTCTTCGTAGAGAACCTGGTGCAGATGAGACGTCTTTGCCCAGCCCACCCTGCTGTTGAAGTTTAAGTCTGTAACAGTACATTAAATTCATAATACCAAGCTGTAGTAAAGCTCCAGATTGTTCTTGGTGGTAAAGCCCAGGGTTCTTTGTTATAAAGGGCATCAAATCTTACAGAGACGCTAGTGGAGCTGAGAGTGGTGGCTGGTAGCCGTGTTCACTGGTAAGTGCCTGTGCTGCGGGCAGGGAGGAGAGCTTTCACCACTGGGCAGGGGCAGTGCCGTGAGGCAGAGCAGCTGGGCTTTGTCAGGTGTTGAATCTCTTTCTCTTTTCTTGAGCTTTGGAGCCATCCAGATGTAAGTGTGCATGATTAAAAATTACGTGTGGACCCCGGCACTGGTCGCTCTGCACTTGTGTTTCGGAGTCCATGAATAGGCGTCTTCCCGTGGGCTCCATGGTGAGCCTCAGTCAGCGCTGTAGAGACAAGAAAAGCCAGTCTGACCCATTTCACCAAACTTCTCGGCGGTGGTCACATCACAGAAGGCATACGTGGCCTTATTTTATTCAGAATGGGATACTTGACATGGGATGATGGCATTTCAGGAAGGGGTGTATCTGGTCTCCCCAGAGCCTGAGGACAGAGGCTGGTCCAAGGGAAAGAGGGCCCTCTGAGGGGATTGGGCCGAGTACAGAGTTCCCAAGTATTAAAAATAAGCAATAATAATAGAGGTTATATTGAGAGTAACTTACTGAGTTGAAGGCAATAATTTTTCATGGTTTCATAGTTGCCAGCATAAAAGCAAGTTGTAAAGTACAGAGACTGATGTTTTCGTTGTGGTGTGTGTTTACCCTGCCTGCTGTCTGTGTCCTAGTTGTTAAGAAAAATCTCATCATGCTTCAGAGAATCAGGACCCGATAACATGGCGGGGGGAGCCTTCATCTTGCCTCTTCCTTTTTTCTTTTAAACCATTTCATTGATAGGCTTCTTCAACCTGTGTTTCCTTGGAAATACATGGGTGCTAATCAAAATGGTCATCTTTCAAAGAACACTCAGTGGACATATCTTAGTGCTAGGCTGTCAGAAGTACATACAACCAGATTGAAATGTTTTTGAACATTGATTAGAAGAGTGAGGGAGGCCCCAAGGACGGTGAAGAGCAGCTGGCGCGCTCCTGCGGCTAGATCATGCGACTTCTGGCGTCTTCTTTCTCCATTAGGGTTTCACCCTTTTCTCTTGGCTTGTGTCCCGGATGAGAAAGACGCTCCTGGCCATTCAGTGTGTCATCCACTTGTTCCCCAAGGACCTGTGGCCAAATGTGAGGTGTTTTACCCTGATCTGGGATTGACCCTAGTATCTTTATTGTTTGTTGGGTGGAGCGGGGAGGCCCTGCAGCACCCAGACGACCGCCTGACGTACTCTGTGCTGAGACTGGGCACATCAGACCCAGGTCTGGCTCAGGGCAGGGATCCCGAGTTGTGAACTAGTGTTCGTCACAGGGTAGCTGGCAACAGGCTTGGCATCCCACCTCCCTCCTTTCTTAAAAAAGGAAAATACAAGGTGAAGAGATGTGGTCCTGGGCTAAGCGCGCCCAACCTGGGTTTGTGAGAGGGGCCCCACCAGGCAGACGAGACTTCCCCTGCAGGTGCCCGCCCACACCCTGTGATCCTGGACAGAAGTGGAGAGGGTGGGCTGCTGTGGGGCGGTCTCATCGAGGTGCCCGTGGGGAGGGTGGTACCTTGAGATGAGCGGGCGGTGCCCCGGGCCACTGACCCACAGGCATCTGCAGACCTGACAGGACGGCCCCTGAGGGCCTCCAGAACAGCGAGATCTAACGCACAGGAGACGTAAGTACGGGGAAAAACCAAACACGGGATTTAGCTTGTTCTTTTTAAAACTTCTTGTAAATTCTCATTTAAAACATGTTTTCAAAAAAACATGGTATTTGATTAACAGAGCGATAGCAGTTGTCATTTTTATGCATTGTTAGCAAGTTAAAGGTCATAGTCCTGAGATAATTTTATGAACAACGGAAGTGGGCTCAGTGGCAGCGATGGGAAAGCAGTGCCCCTCCCGACCCCAGCACCCTGGTGCTGGAAGCCGCTCTCCTGGCCGCCCTCGGGCGGGCTGCACGGGGGTCTGGTTCCTCCTGGCCCCAGGGGACAGAGCAAGAGGGGCTTCTTTGGTTCTAGAATGTCCTTTGGTTGAGTCAGAAGTGAATGAAGTGATGATGAGTTGCTGAAAGGAGCCCCCAGTTGCTAAGACATGAAGGTCTTTGCTTCAGGAGAGCAGCCACAGCCGTGGTCCGGGGCCAGGTTAGCCTGCGGGTTGCAGCTGGGCTCTGGGGTCACACAGACCTGGACCTTAGGCTGAGCCCTCATTCTGCCGTTCAGATTAGAGTGCAGTGCTCCGGCCACGCCTGCACACGGCTGCTTCCTGCAAAGTGAAGCAGAGGTGCAAGAATATTTCTGAAGCTTCTTTGAACTTTTGGGAAGAAGAGAAAGCCTGGTGTTGAGCCCTTTCAGGAGGCTCTTTGGTTTGATTCAGATCCTCATAAAATGTAGGTCTCTTGTACCAGAAAAAGTTGCTGGCTTGGGGCCCATCTCCGTGAAGCGCTTAGCATGTCATCTGTTGTATCCTAGGCATTTGAGCTGGCAACGGGAGATTATTTGTTTGAACCGCATTCTGGGGAAGACTATTCCAGAGACGAAGGTGAGTATTGCTGCCTGCTGAGTACCTCAGTCCGGGTTTCCTGAGAGTCCTGAACTTCTGGAGAATATTGTCTTTTTGCACCGAAATAGAGCTGTGTTTTGGTTTTCAAGCACCAAATTCAGATGCTCTCCCTTTGAGCTTGAAGCCCCCTCAGCTGCAGTGACTGGGCAGAGCCTCCTGGCACCGGCGACGCTTTGGAGAGCCCTCGGGCCTCAGCCCGCCCCCGCAGGCCTGAGCCCAGCTGGCCGGGAGAGGACAGGCCGGACGAACCCGGAGCCTCTCCGTGGACCTTTTGTCCACTGATCTGCTGCCCACTTCTCTGTCCTGTTGGGGGCTGAATTTAAAACCAGGGAACTCTGGCTTGAATTCCCATCTGCAGACCTGACCATCTCCATGCTTATTTGCTTGCGATGCTGGGGTAGCCTGGGGTGAGCTGGCATCAGTCACTGTTAATGCTCCAGATGGGGCCTGAGGCCTGCCAGTCCCAGAAGCCTCTGCGTGGATGTGCTGCACACATTGTTGATTTGATTCTATCTCTGATTTTTTACTAATTTCAATTTTTTTCCCCCTCTTCTTTTATCCCATCCTTCCCTTTGCCCCTCCCATTCCCGTATCCTTTTTTTTCTCTCCTCCATAGACCACATAGCCCACATCATAGAGCTGCTAGGCAGTATCCCAAGGCACTTTGCTCTGTCTGGAAAATATTCTCGGGAATTCTTCAATCGCAGAGGTAGTACCTCTTTTTTTTGAAAAGCGCCACGATGCAGACAGAAATGGAATAGCAGCTGCTGGTTGTAGCATTAATGGTGACAAAGGCCTTTCTCCTAAATTCCAAAAGCAACCCAGCAGAATTCCTGTGCTGACTTCAGACTTGAGAAGGAGCCCCTGCCTGGCCCCGTCCTGCGGTCACCCTGTGCATCAGCTCCTCTGCGGTGCCTTGAATCTGGCCACTCGGGCAGAGCCTGTGCTCTGGCTGTTGACGCTGCGCTCTGTTTCTGTCTGCGCGGGCGATGGCAGTGTCTGCATGCAGTGTACTGATTAAATTGTCGTGTGTTTCTGTTTTGCTGGCAATGTTTCCCAATGCAGATCACATAGCATTGATCATTGAACTGCTGGGGAAAGTCCCTCGAAAATACGCTATGTTGGGGAAATATTCCAAGGAGTTTTTCACCAGAAAAGGTAACGGTATTTATGCAACACTAAATTTTCAGCATAATCCTCTCCCAAAGGAGAAATTGTGCGTTCGCGTTTGGGCAGTGGAGAAAGATCTGGACTTACCGCTGGGGGAGTCTGCTGAAGAAGGCTCTCAAGAAACAAAGAATCATCTGATACCTGTGGAATAAGAATTTTGTAAGAGAACAATCTTCCGAAAATCCTTTGACCTCCTCCACACCTCTCCTTTATGCTAAGCACCAATTCATGTATTCAAGTATTTATAAAAGAGGTTAAATGATTTTTAGAAAGCAGCTAGGCTTACCTTTCCATTTTGCACATTGTTCCTGGAACCAGAGTGTTTCTGCAGTGGAGCAGAGGTGGCCTAGAGACTGGACTTCATGACTGTCCATCTGCGTCCTGTTGCATGTGTCTGAGCTGTTTCTGTAGGGGTGTGGGCCTGTGAAGTCCTGTGTGCCTCACATTCTTATCAATCAGATGCTCTTCTCCCAGTGCATTACCTCACACTGTACTACTGTAGGTGATTTATTTTAATATTGCAGTTCTCGTTGATCTTCCTTGGCATGACCTAGAACAACTCTCTTTGCCCTGTGTAGTCCCTAGTGAGTGATCAGTTTTTTAAAAACACCCAAAAGCCCCGGGGAATTTATTTTTACAGAGCCCTTCCCCAATGCCATAGTCTTTGATGTGAGCATAGATAGTCCTCTGAACGCATGTTTTTCCAGCTTTGATTTGGAGGGGGGGTGTGTGTGTGCTGCAATTCCCGTTAAAAAAGAACTGTTTAAAGTTGATGTGAGCGGGACATGGAGTTTCTAGAAATTTCTGCAAGTACTAGATACTCTATCTCCCCTGCTTTAACCAAATTTGGAAAACCAATTTGACTTTTTACTTTCCTGTGAGATAAGGAATTCTTGTAGAGTAATAACCTTTTATGATATACTGTGGTGATGTTCAGCTAACCAGTGCTGTCTTACCCCTTAAAGTCCATCTCCCCATGAATGCATGAGGCCTGAGAGCGAACCATGCCAAGACAGTGGTTTCTTGCTCACGTACTCTGAGCGTGTTGACCACAACTCTTAGGTTTTTTGGGAGCACCCAGTGGGTAACCTCTGAAATATGTAACTGGATGCAGTATCTTGTTATTTCCTTTTTAAAGCTCATCAGAGGAAAAAAAAAATTGTCAAGGAAAAATGTTCTTCAGATACGTATTAATTTTCGTTCTGAGACTCTGGTCTTCGAGTCTGGGTCACTTAAGCAGCTACAGGGGTCCCCCGCCACACCCAGACTCTCACACAGTCTCAAGTCGTGCTCGGGGCAGCGTGTTCAGTGGCACAGCTGGGGCTGGAGCGTGCTGGGGGGCTGGGCACGGCGTGTCACGTCGTCTCCGCGGCTGTCGGCGGGGGTGACTTCCAGTGAGTGCATCCTTGATACAAGGAGGCGTGAGAGGATGTCTGCACCACGCGGTGCGTTAGGAACTGTTTCCGTTATTGGTAAAGCAGAATTATAAACAGGATAACGCTGTGCACATTGTGAACTGGTCAGCAGTATGACTGAGAGAGTGGGCTGTTTCCTAGGAAATTTCCAGAAAATGTTATTTGAACATAGTTGAAGCAAGGGAAAGCTCTGGATTATTTTGGCCTGGGATGGTGTGGCTTGGGGAGTCGTGTTTATTTTAATCAAAGCAGACTGCTTCTTCCACATTTCAGAATGTTTTCAGAGCCCATGGGAGATGGCCTGGGCCTCAGGAGGACTTGGCTGGTAGATGAGCTGCCCCCAGCCATAGCTTGCACCATTGTCAGGTGGGGAGGGTGGCCAGGAGCTAGCAGCCTGGTCTGTCAGGCAAGTAGCAGTGTTGGCCTGCGGGTGCCCTGGAGGGGAAGGGGGAGGGCCCAGGAGGGCTCTGGACCACAGCCCCTGATCCTCCAGCAAAGTGGGCTGTGGGAGCCTCACTCCTCGCCCCAGGCATCAGGCGTGGTGAGGGCCAGCAGCCAGCAAAGGCACACAAGGAGTGTTCCTTTACTCGTGCTGCTGCCGCCCTTTCCTCTGTAGCGAGGTGGCCGTGTAGGGTGGCTGGGCTCTGCCGTCTCTGTCCGTTGTCTGTGGGTGAGGAACCAGTACTGTGCATGGTGGCGAAGAAGTTGAAAAGGAACCAGGGTGGGGCGGGCCCTGAGTGGTGAGAAGGTGGAGTCAGGCAAATGATTTGAAGGTACCCCTGCTGGCAGCCTGTGGTCAGCGTTGCTCGTGGAGATGGCTGCTCTGCGACTCTGGCTCCTGTCAGGCTTTGCCCCTGGTCTGAGCTGCAGGGACTGGGGCAACGCCTGCGGAGTCCCAGCCCAGAGACGACGGTGCGCCTGGGGCCCTCTCCTCATCCCACCTGTGGGGCTCCTTCCCCGGACTTGATGAGCGATGCCTGGGGGACTGATGTCGGCGGGTGGTTGGTTCCAGCTCACAGCTCTCTGTCCTGGGTCCCTCATGCTGGAGGGCGGCTTTCACACTGGCCTTTCCATAAGCGCCCTGCTCCTCGGGCAAGTGGACCACTGCCTTTGCCCAGATGGGAGTATAAAGTGCTTGCACGGGCCCTTGCTGCTCCATTGCCACGTTGTTACGCATGTGTGCTGTAGGGGCTGTGTGCGTGGGCTCTTTTTTGAGGAGCTTGTTTGAAGGTGGCCTGTGGAACTGAAGTGCATCTGGCATCCTTGGTAGAGACAGGCCGACAACACGTGGACTTGCGTTACTGTGGTGACTGGAGTCCTTTTTTCCTTCCTTTGGATGATTAGGCAAGAAATCCCCTAAAATGACTGGGAATTGGGGCTTAAGTTCTCTCCTGATGATTGTTTGTTTATGGTAACTGTGGAACTCAAAAGGGATTTAGGGTTTTCACAGAAGTCTCGGGAATAGTACAACGATGAATGAGGGCCTGTCCTGAAGTCGATTTCACCATGTCCCTTGGGATGAGGGGAGTGATGGTTGCATTAAAAATGTGTTTTGGCATTGCCTCCCCATAAAGGGGGTGAATACACGTTTTGGAAATAATGGGCTCTTAAGTGTATCCATTTAAATTTTTTCTAAAATACCTTTGTGCCAGAACCGATAGAGAAAGGTGACATTGAAAACGGCTTTTCTGTTGCTTACACCACGTTGGCGAGCGGCGGGAACGGGGCGGGGTGGGGGTGGGGGCTGAGCGGCAGGCTTTCCTGCTCTACACTCTCCTGGGTGGGAAGCAGGCTTTATCCCCACTCTGAGGCCAGGGAAGGGGAGCAGGGTCTGTGCATTAAAGCTAAAATCAAGTGCAGCTGAGTGGCGTCTTCTTGCTTACAGCTCAGGGTAAAATGACCGCTACTAGTTTAAATTATTTCTTGGCCAGGTGTTTTATTAAAATTGAGCTGGATTTTTGTGACTGGGAATATATTTACTGTTCTCACCCTGTTGGGGTTTAATCTGCTGCTCATTCTTTTGGGTGTGGGCATTAGCCACCAAGATCTTTAAGGAGAGCCATCTTGGTCAGGGTGTCAGGGTGTGGCCCAACAGCAGTAAGCACGTCTGTGGATTTTGTCCCTACGCTGTCCTGCTGTGGCCTGAGTGGTCCCTCCAAACCCGTTCCTGACCCCGTAAAGGTGACAGTGTTAGGAGCAGGGCTGTTGGAAGGCGTGTAAAGGCATGGGTGGCGTGTGAAGGCATGGGTGGCGGTAGTGCCTAACGGAGAGACACAGAGAGCTCGCTAGCCCCTCCGCCACCTGAGGACACAGGAGATCTCTGAGCTGGAAGAGGGCCCTCACCTGCCTATGCTGGCGCCCTGCCTCCAGGACTGTGGGAAGTGAATTTGTTGCTTGTAAGCTCCCTAGTCAGTCATATTTTGTGATAGCAGCCCGGGAAAGACGCAAACCCGGGAAAGTGTCCCAGCCCTCAGCTGATGGTGAGAAAAACAGTACAGCCAGGAGCACGCCTTACTATGCCGCCGAGCAGATGTTCTGCGGAGCCATCAGTAGCCATCATTTTAGTAGAAGTTGCTGTACTGAGAATGGAAGTATGAGAGGAGACAGTAAAAAGGAAAAACTACTTGATTCTAGATGAGGGCGTTGAGTGTATTGTAATATATGTGAGCGATAGTATGTGTCAGACCAAAGACCTCTTGAATACAGTGGAGAATTTCAGAGCATGCAAGAAACTTCTGTGTAGCCAAAGGAGTACATTTGCAGGGGACGGCATCAGGATAAGTGGTGTCCAGTAGAAGATGAGGAAAAGTGTAGGAGGGGGTGAGAACGGAGGGTGAAACTCAGGAGCTGGATTTTTCGTTTCGTTTCGTTTTGTTTTGGCCACACCGCACGCTGCTTGTGGGATCTTAGTTCCCTGACTGGGGATCAAACCTGTGCCCTCAACAGTGAGAGTGTGGAGTCCCAGCCGGTGGACCGCCAGGGAAATCCCAGGAGCTGGGTTTTAAAAGAGGCACTATTCTTTTTTTTTTTTTTCAGGGGCCACTCTTCATCGCAGTGCGCGGGCCTCTCCCTATCGCGGCCTCTCTTGTTGCGGAGCACAGGCTCCAGACGCGCAGGCTCAGTAGTTGTGGCTCACGGGCCCAGCCGCTCCGCGGCACGTGGGATCCCCCCAGACCAGGGCTCGAACCCGTGTCCCCTGCATTAGCAGGCAGATTCTCAACCACTGCGCCACCAGGGAGGCCCGAGGCACTATTCTTAATTTTTAATGTTGAGATGAAACTTGTTAGAATGATTTTAACTTAGCTCCAGAATTACCTAAAAAGCAACTGATACTCTTATTTCTGTGAAGAGAAAAGCCCCTCTGTGGCGTTTGGCCCATACAGGGTAGGATGGTCACTGCCCCACTTGATTTTCATGGCTTCAAGTTTAAAACCTTCTTGGTCATAGCATTTCCACGCGACGTAGGCAGTGAAGACAGGCAGATTGCACACGTGGGCTTAGAGCAGTGTGTGAACTTGAGGGGTGTCTGGCCTGGAAATGCTGGGGAGGAAGGACGCAGGCCTCAGCGAGGCC